ATATATCTTATTAACCAAGCGCGAGGGCCGTACTGGGAGAATATCGGCCCGAGGTCTTGACAGTACGGACCGAGCGCAGCGAGGTCCGTACAAAAAAGACCGAGGGCCGATATTCTTCCAGTATGGTCCCGAGCAAGCTTGGTTAATAAGAGATTTATTATACGACTGAAGTTCAAAGGGACACAAGTGCGGTATCATGATTCGGGAACATTTGGGACAGTGCCCGGTCCAATACTTATAGAATATTGGACCAGCAATAGAGCAATTTGATTGGTTGATTTTAGTTATTGGCCCTCTGACTGCCTGAGTCGTGTAATAAAGTAGAATTATTATATTATAATAGTTTATTGGATTTGAATTAAATAAATGGATTTATCTACATGTACATGCACTTTTCAGAGGACCTGATCTTTTTGATAATGATGATGGCAGTGAGAGAACTTGTGCCACAGATGGAAGTGGACCTTCAACATCAGTTCCAGATCACAGAAAAGAAAAAACACCACAGCAGGTTTACTGACCATTTCATACCTGGCATTTTGATATAAAATCTACACTCATCGTCTTTTATTTCTAACTTATAATTTAGGCTTTAATAATTTAGTGTAAAATCAGGCAAAACCCCAGCTGATATTTTACTACCTTCCTTGTCATCCTTTTGTTAGAAAATGTATCAATATTGTAAAGACATAATTATTCCTTTTTGGTCACTTCTTGGAGTGAAAGAATTGAAATTTCACTAACTTCACAATGAACTTGAAGGTTAATTTTTACCAAGTTGAACACAAATTTGAAGTAAAATTGCTCATAATTGATAGTTTAAAATTGTAATAGGGAAGGGCTCAACACCAACAGTAGCCCACCAGCCACATGCAGACTAGTAGAAATTCAGTTTTGGCCAGTGGTTTTCAATTTCCACTTATAGCCACTTTGGCTAGTAAACAGACTGAAATTGTCATAACATCTAAAAACATCTAAGATGTCACTTATAGCCACTTGGCTAGTAAGTTGAAAAGTTAGTGACGAGCCCTAATAGGGTGGTACAAAGTTGCTGTTTATTACTGAATGATATACAAGGTATGACACAAAGTTAATCATGACCTTTACAATTTATTACATAAATATTAATTTTTTATACTGTGCATTCTTTTTCTCAATGCAGGTGGCAGGGGAGAACTGCATGAGACAAATGTTGGAGGCTTTAGATGGCGAGACATATTCCTTTAGGTATTCTTGCACCATTATAAATTTCTTTAACTGAAGCAGAGTATTGATTCATTTAGATTATACACACTAGATGATGAAAACTAATGATTATTGTCCTTTTATTTAGTCACGTTCTACCAATGCTGAGCTTTTTCCAGACAAGATCAATCAAACAAACCACTGTATTTAGAGGACCACTGGAAATTGGCTCTCAGCTAAAAATAAATGTGTATGGATACAACAGGGTAAATTCAAGATTTTTTTATTATTTTTACCTTTATTAATTAGCAGGCTCTTCTGGCTAGCAGTTACAAGTAATCTTTCAAGTACAAGGTTGTGTGTAATGTTAATAGTGCACTATGTCACCAGTGAAAGTTGAGTTGGAGTGTATCCAAGTAGTTTAATTTGCATCACTTGTTTTTCAGTAGTCCCAAGTGGATTTATGGCTATCAGCCTCCCCTCTCTCTTAGCTGACCACACCCTATCCTGTTTTTGCATAGGACACTCATCCAATCAGTGTTGACAGGTGTCTGGAATAGGTAGTCATGGCTACATTGGTGGAATTTTCCTTTGATACCCTGGGGCACCCACCTGCTATTGAAGCAAGGGAGCTGGTGTATGGAAAGGAGCCCAATTTCTCTTTTCAAATTCTAATAATAATTATTACTTTTCCTTTTGTAACACTGTGAGATAAAGAATAAAAAGTAATGCAGGGCTTTGCATGTATTCCATTCTCATTATTCCTTATTCTCAGACAACTGAACCATCAGAAGATTTCAACTTAAATAAAATAAAATAAATACATTAACTGAAGCTCCCCATAGGGGGCTTTTCAGCCACGATGTAGACTAACTAAGTGATTGAAAATCCCCACTGGTAGGAGGCAGACCAGTGGGCTATTTACAGAGCGCAGCCAAGGAGTTGAACCAGGGGCAACCGTGAACAAATCCAGTGAGTGGCAGGGTGGAGGACTTCAACTCACTGGGACACCAGATTACAAGTCCAGCAATCTAACCACTCGGCCACGCCACATCCACAAACATGATTAAGTCAAAATGCTATTATAAATAACGGTGTATTATTGACACAGAGTTAGAATCATTTTGCTCTTTGAATTCTCTGAAGGTAAGGGAGGAGAAGTTAGCACCCTGGAAGAAGCTGTCAGCTGTTTCTCAGATGTCCCCTAACCCTGACACAATGGAAGTACAGATGCAGCGATCATATCACTTGAATGATGAAGATGATACTGAAGTTGACAAAGAAAATGTAGCTCAAGGTACAACTCTGATGAAACTGTATTTTTTTTTTTTTTTTTAGTACCTGCCTATAAATCCTTACAGTACTGTAGTGGCACTGGGAGGGTGGGGTGGGGGGGGTTTATTTATGATGGTTGCATAATTGAGTTTCAGAGGTTTGAACAAGAGTCTGAAACTGAATGATGAAATTTGCTTTCTACAGTACATCAAGTAAAATTGCTATCCACTTTCTCCAAAATTAACAACATTAAAAATAAAAATTAAACCATTATTAGCCCTGTTCTTTCAAGTTTTTACTTAGCCTACTTCAGAATGTATGGGAACCTTTGTGCAAATAAGGGCATGTTTGTAAATGAGATTTCTTTTTTTTTTTGGTGGGGGGAACATAATGTAACATCATTCAGTAGATGAATAAGTCAACATACCAGTAAACTGTGTAAATTTTTTTTTTCTAATTTGTTAACAAAGCTGATCCTAAAATTTTAATATTAGCACTTTTGGTACTTTTGGTTACCCTTTACATATTATTTTTGTTGTTGAAAATGAAAAAGAAATGGTATAGATATGCAAGTATCCTACTGTACCAAGTAAATGCAATTACTTTACATGTAACTAGTTCAGCAGAGGAATCTTCCATCCTTTGAAAAACATTGGTTGCCTCTTTGCGGGGGCATCTGCAGTGTAATTAAAATTTTGGGAAATCAGAGGGGATATATTTGAAGGTCAGGCTACTTCAACAGAGATTTGAAGATTAGTAACTACATATAATTATTTAAGTACTTCTTTTTACATAGTGTTGAAGGAACAACTGGGAGCTTTTTGACTAAAATGGTTAATTTTGACCATAACTGCCAATAAATTATTACTTATAATGTAACTGAAAAATTACAATTTATAGACCCAAATGTCTATGAATTGTCTATGAATTGTAACTCCTCAGTTACATTCATTAAATCTTTAAACCAGAGTAACACCAAACCATGTTATAATTAAATGATTATTTACTGATCAACATGTAGGCTATCGTTATGGCAAGACATTGGTTCCATTGACGAGAATTGACAAAGACAGCATGAAACTTCCCACAGAAAGATGTTTATCCTTGCTATGCTTCACTTCCAATGAAAATGTAAGCACTGAGGATTAAATTTAGAAATATGTTTGAAAAATTAACAAACAACTGATTTAAAAATAAATTTATTGAGTAATGAATTCAATTATAAAATTTTAATTAAAAGTGACAGTCATCCAGTGTAGATGTTATATTCAGGGCTTGAAGCTAATATTTCAACTTACTAGCCAAGTGGTTAGTGACATCTTAGATTTTTTTAGATGTTACAACAAAAACAGTCTGTTTACTAGCGAAACTGGCTAGTGGAAATTGAAAACCACTGGCCAAAACTGAATTTCTACTAGTCTGTGGCTATCGTTTAGTGTTGAGCCCTGTTATTGCAACTTCTTTGTATTGATTTCTTTATTTACAAGACATCTCATACTGGTATTTTAACAGTGAGAATATAAATCTTACTCGTAAGTTAATGTCAAAATGAGGATTGACCGAATGATTTTTGTATAACCCTGTAAAAAGCGCCCAGCCACTTATTTTAAAATTTTAATAAAAAGGATGGGGGGAGGGGTGTGGTGCTTTATTGAGGGGGTACTAATTATTATCCTGTACTGATTCTGCTGTAGTTGAAGTTTAAAGAGTCCTCCTATTTAAGAAAGTGAGGGAGGGAGGGCAATATTTGGGGTGGGGGGGGGGGACTTAGACGATATAGACATAATCTCGGTCGATTCNATTATGGCATAGGGGGTGCTCATTAGAGTAGGGGCACTTATTCTTGGAAGTATGGTGTGAGTGAATGTATGAGCATATTGTGTATATCAGTAGCAATAATAATGTGATATGCAATTTCACAGGTCCAGAGATATCAATACGTTGGAGAAAATGTGATAGCCTTTGTTCCACAGCCAGGTGACCAGGTAATTCAAATTTAAGACTTCACGAAAAAAAAAAAAAGAGTCAAAGTGACTGTATGGTGAACTCATGGATAAACTGTGCAGATTGGAATAAGAATAAGAGCTAAATGATCCTTTATTTGTAGAAACAGAATTGAGCTGTCATCTCCACAAAATTAATGTCCATAATAACTGATCCACTATATTTAAAAATCCTGTGGCCAATTTAAGAAGAGAACATTATTTTAGGGCACAGAGCTCAAATGAAATTTGAGATCTTTGGAGAAGACAATTACTTATTTAGAGATTCATAAATTTTTCTTTTTCGACAGTAAATATATGCGATGAAACCCCCAATCAGTGTCATTAGCAGTTTAATTCACAGCATCTCATTATCCAATTAGTATCCTAATTAACATGTCATTAACTTATTCATTGTCAATTTTTGTTGTAGCATGCTGCAGTTGCACTCTCGGCACTGATAAATGGCATGTATGAGCTGAACACTGTGGCAATTGTAAGATATTGCAGAGTAAAGAATGCTCCCCCCAAGCTTGGCTTCTTGGCTCCGCACATTAAACAGGACTATGAGGTAAATACTCGTTTCTTTAAAACTACTCAGACAGTGTTCCAAACTGCATTTGTTTTGGTTGTCATGGCAAGTGTTGCACTCCCAAACTGAGTCCTTGTTCAATAAGTATCGATTTGAGTTTACCATGATCAACCACACAACTTCAGGCTCTTGATTGTTGATTTATTTGAAAAACTGAAGTATGCGGTGAGAACTAAAAATTACATAAAATTGATGTGCATCGAAAATAACTAAGTGAGAGAAAATGATCAACAAACAATGACATTAAAGCGAAGGAAACAACAAAAATCAAGAACTTACGTTATAATTCTTCTAGCGGCAGGTGACACAGTAAGTGTCTTCAATATGTCTACAAGCAAATAATTGTCTCTAAAATATCTCCAGTAGCTGAATCTGCATGTCATGTGCATCTTTTTCTTATCCAAAAACAAAAATCAGGTTTCATCACAAAATACTAAGGGCTTAGTAATAATTATCAACTTGATACATGCGTAATGCAACATTTCTTATCCGTCACAGCAAGCAAAAAACAAATTAATGTTAAATTAATTTAATTGCATGTTGAATGTCTATTCCACTGGCCCACCATAAATTGTAACTTCTTGGTTACATTCATTGAATCTAATTTAAACCTGAGTAACAACAAACCATGTCTAGGTGAGTAAATGTTGCAATCCACATTGGAAATACATGCACAATCGTTACTGCCTGTGATAGGCAATAAAACCTTATTGCAGTCAATCACCACAAACTCTTTTACAATTATATCTTGTTGATTTTGTGCCATAATGAAAGTTGATCATTTGATTTTTTTTGTTTTGTTTTGATTTTTCTCCAGTGCCTCCTTTTCACTGCTTTGCCATTTTTAGAAGATCTACGTCAGTTTGCCTTTGCCCCTCTTGATGCTAACAAGAAATGGGAACCATCTGGCAAGTGCATGCTGTAATAAATTTAATAAGTGTAAATTCAAATTGCAACATAAGATGTTGACAAATTAATGATTAGAAATGGTTTTCATCGATACTTTGAATGTAATTATGTGTCTGATAAATCTCCAATTTTAGCAATCCTGATAAAAGGGTTTTGCAGCTATATTTATGAAAACCCATAACTTGATGTTCCTGTTTTTAGGTGCATAATAATCATATTTTCAAGTAAAACCTTGCAGTACTGTTGTAAATTTCAAAAAATCCATGTTTGAATTGACATTTTGTGATATTATTCTCATAAAAATTCTGCAACTTTGTGCTGCAGTGGAACCCATGGGAACAAGTGTTCAATTAAGCTTTTGTATTACATTTTGCTGTTTTAGGAGAACAAGAGGATGCTGTAGACAATCTCATCACTGCAATGGATTTAACAGATGCACAACGGTGAGTTATCTTGTTACAAAAAGATTTACAATTGGTAGCTTGCTATCTATTTTCCAAGAGACTGCCCTTTTCAAAGTCCATGTGTCCAACCCCACATTGCCTTCATTTTACGGTACTTTGATTACTGACTTTCCATAATTGTAGATGATGACAAATTAGTTCAAAAAACTATTTTCAGTAATCATTATGTATATAATATCTGCTAACTTTTGAATGTTGGAAGATGTTCAACTCATTAGTTTAACATTGAATGTACATTCATTCCCTTAAAACCTGTTAAATAACAGTGAATTATTAAATAGATATTCATTACCTGAGGGCTTTTCATCACTTTCAAAGTGAATGTAATCTCTTTTTCTTTGGTTGATTTTCTAGTGATGAGGATGGACAAGCCGTAGAGGCACTTAAATGTAACAGAACTTTTAACCCTGTTCGACAAAGAGTTTTTCAGGTAATCAAGAGTGGCACATTTTATAGTAAATTTATTAATAATTCACATGTTTTTTTTACGATAACAATTATCCATCTAGTGATGTGAAACCATTATTTTCTTTTCCTCATCCGTTTTATGAACTAACTACTTTGTTTTCTAACCACACATTACAGTGCATTCAGCATCGTGCTCTTAACCCAGATGATCCATCATTACCAGATTTAGATCCTGTTGTTGCGAGGTACTTGTTGTTTTTAATGTGCCCAGTAATAACCATTTGCACCCTGACATCAGTATGCATATTCTCCATACTGTTCTCTTTACATCACCTAAGGAGCTTGCAAGGAGAATTTGTTTAACAATCAAGAGCAGTGCTTTCAATAAGATTTGAAAGAGGTGGCTACCTCAGTACAGCACCCACTGGAGAGCGACTTGAGCGTGGTGAAATATACCTGGCGACTCACAACAGAATACCTGCAAGAGCTCCAGTGGGTGACAGGTCTTATTTAAGGCACTGCAAGAGCTGTTTTAGTTGATGATCATTTCCTTTGTTCTTGTGACCATTAATGTTTGATTAGAAATGAAGTAACTTGTAGTTCTTATGAAGAAAAACAAGCAGTCAATCTAAATGGTTTGTCTAACCAGAGCTTATTCCATTTTTTAATAAAGTTTGGATTTAATGCCTGCTATCATTGGTTGAAAGGGCATGTTCTATCAGAGTGAGCAAAAGCCTTCTTGTCATCTGCCATGCAATCTGTACTTTGCCTAGCTTTTCTTTGTTAACTGAAAGTGAAATTACAATATATAAGCAAGCTGGTGGATAGCAACAGAAGAACCAAACTAAGATTTGTCAACATGCTAAGCCCCATAATTTGCATTATTATAAAGTGTACAGAGATGAAAATCCTCAAGAGAAAATGAAATGAACAGTCAGATTTGAAGGTTTTCACTTTCTCACTTCTTCCTGAATTTTACATTGTGTCAGAGTGAATTCTTGCTTTGATTTATGAAATCAATTAATTTTATTCCTCTGCAGTTATTTGGAGCCCAGTGCAGAGTTCAAAGCAAGGTGTGCTTCTGAGTGTATGAAGATTAAGGTGAGAAGCTCCTAATTGGTAGAACTCAGTGGTTAAATGTCACTTGCATAAAGCTTGGGAACCATACATATGTAGATGTCTCTTGCAACTTTATTTCCTGGTTGCTTGGTGTGGAATAATTGAGGTACTACCTGTAATGCTGGAGTTCAGAGGGGAAAAGAAATCCCCTTAATGATTTATTTTATTTATGTCTCTGCTACCAAGTAAAGTCTGTACTTGAGCCGAGTGGTGGGAGCTTATCCTGTTATCCTGGTTTCCTTAGCATTAAGCAGCTAGGAGTGTTTCTTCTTCCCCACTGGGTGAGATGCAGTCTATTACAAGGTTGCCCCTGCATTTTATCATTTTCACCAGTACCCATTATACTCGGGGGAGGGGGGAGATAGAGAGAGAGAGAGAAAGCGGCACTGTGAGAGAGTAAAGTGTTTTGCCCACAAACACGACACATTGACTTGGTCAAGTCTAGAACCCAGATCTCTCCAGTGCACTGACCATAAGGTCACTTCATATTCCTTTGGGTACCAGGCCTCAACAAAAAGATACAGTTCAGTTTCAGGTCTAGAACCCAGACCTCTCCAGTGCACTGATCATTAGGTCACTGCATATCCCCTTTGGGTACCAGGCCTCAACAAAAGGATACAGTTCAGTTTGTTGAACAAAAGTTTTGGGTGTTCAAAAATTATTTCAACTTGTTATTTTTTTAGTACATAGTTGAATTACTTATTTCATGTCAGTTCAATTAATTATAAAGTTTGTTGTTGTGTATAATTTTTTTTGCTCTTAAGGATATGTTCCGCCTTGAAAAAATTGAAAAAAAGAAAGAATACACAGCTGAAAACATATTCATTTTACCAACGTATGTATTAATATCTTAATATCTTGTTATCAATTAATGATTTTTTTTAATAATCAAAACGTTTTTAATGTATATAAATAATTTTGCTTAATGTTTAATTTATTTATTATTATTCTTTTTGTTTATTTTCTATCTGTGGTACATTTTTCTAAATTTATTTGTCAAGTGTTTTTTAGCATGAGCCATGGTCTCAGAAGATTGGGCAACCACTTCCTACAATATGGACTTTAAATGAAAATTATTATTATTATTATGTGTTTGTGATTTTCAATGAACTCCCACTTGCTTGTTTTGTATGATAATACTGTATGTGCACATTGATGTGCTGAAAAGTGAGTTGATAGTCTCCACTTGAAACTCAATCCTCAACACTCAACACTGTTGAAGATTGGGGATTGGAGCTTCAGATGCTTCATAAATAGAACTTTCGATTGTTTCGATTGTAATGTCAGATCTCCGTGATTTCAATTGAGTACTGGTATCCATAACCCTTTCACTCCCAAGATGTCAGGAGGGCAGTAATTCTTCTTACTGTCTTTGTTGGTTTGGAGAATTTGGTATTGGATCAACTAAAAATACCCTTACTAATTGATATTCTCCTTCATTCTCATCACTTGTCTGCCTGACATTATATTGTAAGGAGAACTTATTTCTTGGTCACTCATGAGAGTTAAACGGTCAACAACTGAGACCAAAGTAATCAGAAAGGCTGAGAATTCGAAGCATAAGGGAAAAAAAAGCACCAAGGTTTTAGTAGGAACTCAAACTATAAACATGCTAAAGGGTTGGAAAATGCAAGTTAGAAAGTTGCACTGGTTTTTCCCTCCAACTCCCAATATCTGATTGTTAATTCTCCCCTCTCACTGCTTATAATAATAATAATAATAATAATAATAACAATAATAATAATGATAATAATAATAATAATGCAAATATTTATACAAGATAACCTATCAGTTCTTAATAGTTCATAAATAACTCTAAAAAATCTAAGATTTACATTAACTTACAAGATTAAAAGAGTTATAATAAGATACTATCATATTGAATACTATCACATTTCCTTGTAAATTAGTTATCAGAATGTGGTGTTAGATCAAGATAATAACCTCTTCCTGATAAGTTTGAGTATTCTCGGTACCTGTTTGTGGTTGAAAATTGCTTTATGGTTAATTTTTACTGCAGTGCAGATAAGCCAAATGGTGAACCATCAACCAGCAGAGAAAATGTTTTTGATGAAACTGACTTTAGCATGGCAAGTTTGGCAAGAGAGCCGGTCACAAAGGTATGGTAATGCCATTTGATATCATGCTGTGTGTTTCTTTTGAATGCAGGACAACTGTACTGGCAGATGAAACAGCTCCATTATATTAGCTGATACTCATTAGTGAGTAGGTGGAGATTTCTCTGCCCTGGTGAAATCTGTTTTCAACTTCCACAAGCAAATTTCCCAGTTGTACATTTCACAACTGTAAGAAATAAAATAAATTCATAATATACAAGCTGCATGACTTTATAATTAACCCTTTAATTTCTAAGATCTGATTATTTCCCAGTTGTACATTTCACAACTGTAAGAAATAAAATAAATTCATAATATACAAGCTGCATGACTTTATAATTAACCCTTTAATTTCTAAGATCTGATC